GAAGTGACGTAGCAGCATCGGAGCAACTGCCGCTGCTACAGTAACAGGCCAGTCAACACTGCGTCCCCCTCCACCTGTTACATCACAATATATAATATGCAATAGGGAAGTAACTTATTTGTTTTTGCTATTGATCCATTAAATAGCGTAGAAAGTGTTTAAAATTTACTTCAGTGACTCCATCTAGTAATTTGGTCCCACTTGAAACAGTCCTCCAAAACAAATTTATTGCAGTACAGGCCATGCATCATATAATGTGCAATAACATATATATGTCACAAACATACACATCATTACTTAATGTAACAGAGCTATAAATAAAGTGCATGTCCAAGACATTGTGCTACATTCGGTGAGATGTCAGTCTCGGCTTATGTCTTAATAGGTAATAGGTAAAGGAGTAACAGGCCATGAGTATTTGTTCTGTATGGAAAGACAGCATACATTGATACATCAGGATTTCACAGGACATAATGCAGTTTCTGATTTATGGCTTTTGGAGTTCGACATTTCTCTTCTATTTGTTCTTCAGTCTCCTCTCCTTTCCTTTCTGTCCGTTCCATACTCTAAAACTCTCCTAGCCATGCCTTTGATAGTATTCTCTATATGTTACTAAAAAAGAAAGATGTATTCTCTTAACTCTGCCTAAAACATCTTTGAGGGTTCATTGTCAGATAGGTCATTACATCACCATGAGAACGTTAACTAAATTCTGTGTTTAACATATGACGGGAACTGAAATCACCATATCAGAGATCAGGCTAAATACACAGAACTTTTCTTGCTTACTCAGAGCATAATATGCTCTCAAAAATGTTTTAGCTAAATAATTTTAGATATTTACCATATAATTAATTATTGTTTGGTATTTTACAGAAATCAAAGGTAGATAGAATGATAAACTCTGCAGTCTAGATCCAAAAATGAGCAGTAAAAATGTATGAAGGAGAAATTATGCACTTTTCTATATGATGAATGTGTATGAGCATTACAAAATGTTTAACCACTGTAACCCTTATTGGAGGAAATAAACACTGAGTGATTGCCTGGAGCATAGAATTGTTTTTCGTATGTTCATAGATATTACAGGGTTGACATCGTAACTCATTTTCTATTATTTTAGTAAGATTGAAGTGCAATATAATAAACTGTATTCAGTCACTTCATGACATCAGGTTTTGTGAATTTTTCCAAAGACAACTCAGCCCTATGTATATTTTCAATAACCACTTTAAAAGAGTTAGAGTGTGTAGTGGACCGTTTTGTGTGAGTCCATGATGCAGTGCACATGGCCTGTGGATGTTTTCCTGTTCCATAAAATGAGACGTCTGATTTGTAAATGTCCCTTGTAATTCAACAATTCCACTTAACACAAAATATAGGGATTTTGTTTTCAAGGGAGAAGGCCTTGAATTGCTATGCCATGTGTCTTGGAGTCCATTTCAGAATTGTTTTATACTGGAGTGACTCATGTGCAACAATGGTAAAAGTCTGTAAATGTGAGGAGAACCAGGTCTGCTTACCTTGGTTTGGAGTCCATGCTAAACTATAGAATCCTCTGCTGGCCATCAGGGGTATCAGAGTCCTTCTCACAGGTTCTCTCATCTCAGAGATGCACCACATTCAAGGTTGACAGAGGCTAGGATATTTACTGTTTGCATCCTCTTGTGTATCATTAACAGAACAGGGTGTCTACAATGAAACACCCTGATTTTGTCATATTCTCAGGAAGTAAGGAATAGAGATATGGCCTAATTATTGACAGCTGTCAGTCACCAACACACAAAGTTTAATTTTAAAACATCAGTACACTCCTATGTGAGCACTGTTGGTGACACATAGAATATCTAGTCTGTAATTAAGTTCTGCCCAGGTCCGCTGCAACATGTCTGGAGTGATTGTACCGACAACTTCCATAGGCTGGGCCTGAAGGTCACGCACTTTAGTGGCATAAATTCTATCCTTCACATTGCCCCACAAAAAGAAATCCTATGGCATGATGTCAGAGAAACGTGGAGGCCAAGCCATTTGACAATCTCGTCCTATTCAACAGCCTGGAAATGTTGCATTCATAACTCACTGCATGTCCAGCAACCAATGGAGTGGAGCTCCATCTTGTTGAGAAAATACATTTGGCTGCACTTGTTCTAGCTGAGGAAAGGCATAGAGCTGCAGCATGTCCAGGTATGAGCTACCTGTGACAGTCTTCTCCTCAAAGAAAAATGATCTGATGATCATGTTGCAAATGATGCCACACCAGACATTCACTTTGTCTCACACGTTCCATGATGCTGTGCAGTTGCTGTGATCCCCATATCCAAACATTATATGTGTTTACAGCACCACAGACAGGAAAAGTGTACTCGGAAAATGTGATGTTTGTCAGAAAGTTGAGGTCTCTGCCAATTCAGTCAAGCCAGTCACAGACAAAATTGTGTTGCTGTGGGTTGTCCTCTGGTTTCAGCTCCTGCAGAATCTACACCTTGTACACATAGAGAGACATCTGCTTTCAGAGAACCTTATGCACAGTTGCTCATGGCATTTGCAGTTCACGTGAAGCTCAATGAATTGACTTCCTTGGACTTCAAATGAACGCCATATGGACTTTTTCTACCTTCTCATTGGAGACACATTGTCAGCCCCCTCCGTGCCCTTTCAAGATGCTCCCAGTCTCAATTTCTCATGACATCTGCGGTTCCTGTGAAGCTCGTTGAATTGACTTCCTTGGACTTCAAATGAACACCATATGGACTTTTTCTACCTTCTTATCGGAGACACATTGTCAGCCCCCTCCGTGCCTCTTCAAGATGCTCCCAGTCTGCAGAAACTTGCTGTGCTATGCTTTGATCCTCTTTGTGTCTGGTGCTGCTTTCTGATAAACACAACGAAACTCCCTTTGCACCTTCACGATGGACTTAAACTCAGAAAACTACATAACAACTCGCACCTTCTCCTGAGCTGACACCATCTTTGCATTAAATAACAGCAGTGACCCAGTGGTGGCCCATGAGGTATCCTGAAAATTTAGGTGGGAATTGGAACTCCTGTGGTACACAGGAGACCCTAAACATCTGAAAAAGAAACTATTTTCCTATTTCTAAAATATCTTCAAGATCAACACATTTCATTGTAGACAGTCTGTACTACTGTGGCCATTGACACAACATGCTACAAACCAGAAAGTTGTGGGTTCAATTCCCATGATGTCATTGAATTTTTTCAGTTGACCTAATCCTTCCAGTCACACTCTGGCCCTGGGGCTAAAGAGTAGCCTCATGAGGCTGGCAACCTTACTGCCTTCTGTTAGGCGATAATCTAGAAAATGTGGGTGCCTCGACATCTGTCTACACTGTGGGTCTCCATGGTCTTTTATATATGTATAACAAATATAGTATATGCATACATATAAGTATGTAAATGTATGTATAATTCAAACAAATATTAGTGCATTGATATCATTTACTTATAGATTGTTGTGTTGATGGCCACAGTAGTACTTTTAGAGACTAGGATGGTTGGATGGATGATTCAGCAGCAGTATCACACAAAAGATTCTTTACTACTTCATAGCCGCTACTATTAAAATTTATATGCTGTTTAATTCTTTTGTAGAATGTGGTTTGCTGTAAGTCAGATTGTAAATAATGTAATTATAAGGACAGAGGCATGTGACATTTTAGTCAAAAACTCTGAAGGGAAGAGACCACTTCAGAGACCTAGTTACACATTGGTGGGAGGATAATATTAAAGTGGATTTTAAAGAAATAGCATTTGTTAAGGTCTCTTTTCTGTGGAGTTAGTCACTAAGAATAGATTAGTGCAATTTCTGATGTTTGTTACAAATCCTCAAAGTAAATGCTGCAGTTCTAGGATTGGTATAGAGTCCTTCCTACTTGAGATATGGAATAATTATGACTAATTTTCAAGCATATGTATAAATCCGTGTTTTCTAAATGTTCTGAATGCTCAACCTAATTGTAAATCCTGGCTATTATATTTGTTTGAGTGTGTTTGTTAGTGGGTTCAAAATGAAATGGATGTATTAGTTTGTGTTTATTCCCATCTTACTGTATTCCATATTTGTAATATTTTATAAGCTCACTTTTCCTTGCTTTTTGTGTTTTTATGTATAGTGAAAACTCCAAATAAGAGCATTCAGGTAAACTAATATTTGGTCTTTTACATGGGACTTGTGTTGTATTTGAGTTTCTGGGATTAGAAGATTATGTTTGTTATACAGAAGTTTAATAATTATTGTAATGGGAAATCTGAAGCATGATAGCTCATACAGTGAAGTGTCTGGCCACAGGTTTGATTATAAGGGTTCAGTTCCTGGCAAGAGCAGGTACTCTTTGCTTTGCCACTATGTCCAGATTGGCTCCAGGGACCAACCTCCTATTAAATGGACACCGAGTTTCTTCCCAGGGCTATAGTGATTAGTTCAAGGGAGCTGATTATTCATCACCAGCTATTACAAAAGATACAGAATAAATTGGACCTTACCTTCATGCCCCAACTGTACCCTCAAGCATTGTTATTAGCACATGGACAAGGTTGGCAAATACATTTCATATACAGGATGTCTCAGGAGGAAAGGTTAGTATTCTGGGAGGTCATAGTATCAGTCATTCTAACCAAAAAAGATTATGTACATGTGTCCTATTCCAAATAGTTCCCGAAATAGAGCTATTTCACTGTACAGTTCCAAAATTTTTTATAAGAAAGAGTTATTACATACTGTTTCTAATACCAGTATTTATTGTTCAAGTGACAAAGTTGGTACAGTACCTAGAATAATGCATTTAGAAAATTCCATCGTCAACATCAGTGCATTTTGCAGCTCGTGTTAGTACATGATGTGTTGCTCATCTGAGTGCATCTTGATATTCCTTTATGCAGGCAGTAACATCCATCTCAGAAACCCTTTGGAATGGGACATGTACATATACACTTTTTTGCTTAGAATGACTAATACCTCCCAGAATATTGACCTTTCCTCATGGGACACCATGTATACAGTTTATGTAAGAATTACATAATGGTAGTACTCTTTATTGATGTAATACAGAAGTTGTAAAAATTCATCAAATAATTTTCTATCCAGCATCTGAATTATTTGTAATAATAACTGCAAGAAGTGAACATATATTATATGTATCTGGTTTAATTAATTTCATGGAAATTATAAGGTTTGTTTATGGGTAGATGAAATAGGGTTTTACTTGTATGCAAGTATACCAGCATAACCAAATTTGGTTCAGTTCTCCTGCACAAGGCATTAGAAAATATTAGAGTATTTTTTTTCCTCCTAACACTGGGAAACCTGGTTTTAGGTGCATGATGAAGTGACATTTTCTTAAGTTCCTGAGTGCCAGTACCTGGTTAGAATGTAAAACATTAAAGTTAAAATATACTTTATAAATGGTGATGAGCAGCTAGTTTACTGCTTACCAATGTTACCAGTTTGAGAGGTATGTATCCCGTAGTATATTGTCAGCTGTAAGTGGAGGTGACCCAGCAATTCATTGGTTGTCTTATTATGAAAATTATCCTGCAGGACCTGGTTTGTATGAACCTTCACAAGTGCAGCAGTCACAGCAACCCTCACAACAGCAACATGGTGGTTCACAACCATCTGCCACACAACATTTCCATCCACCTCCCTCCAGACGACAGCACTCAGCATTAAGAGCAAAAGCACTTGAAGGAGAGGGACCATTCTCAAACCACTGCCGTAGTTTTGATTCTCAGATCAAGGTACATATTGTCTGTGGAGAATCAGCGAGGGGAAGCATGCAATTTTTCTGTAATTGTGACATGGATTAGCAGTATTTCAGGAGAATGCATGGAGTTGTATCTCCACTCCTTCATTGTGTCTTCATAGCATGCTGCTAAATTAAACACAGGAACAAATTTCCTCTTGGGGGGGGGGGGGTCTCCCAGGACTGAAATCAGACCTAGTTTTCTCATTTATAATACTGATCCACTGAACAGTGGCGTTACTTTAATTACATAATTTATTCATTTTTAATCCAAAAGTTTGTTTGAAAGTTTGGTAAAGTGTATGACTACTATTACTAGTCTGAGTACATTTGACTGAGATTAGAAAAATTACAGCTGCGTAATACTGAGAAAGAGATGAGTTGTGTGAGAAAGAAAAATTTCTATTCTTTTCTGAATGGTCTGTAACTATCATCTTGAACCTGACTGTGTAGCTGTTACACTTCCCCTTGTTTAACACACTTTCAAGTTGCTGTTTATTATTGCTGCTTTCATATGAAATAATAGGCAAAATTCATAGTCATTGACTGTTTGAATATAGCAAGACACCCAATATGTGAATCTTTCATAAGGGAGCCCCTCTGTCCATCACATTCTATTTTTATGACATCTTCACTCATCCACCTGCTTTCAGTTTCTATTTTTATGCATCTTCACTCATCCACCTGCTTTCAGTTTCTATTTTTATGCATCTTCACTCATCCACCTGCTTTCAGTTTCTATTTTTATGCATCTTCACTCATCCACCTGCTTTCAGTTTCTATTTTTATGCATCTTCACTCATCCACCTGCTTTCAGTTTCTATTTTTATGCATCTTCACTCATCCACCTGCTTTCAGTTTCTATTTTTATGCATCTTCACTCATCCACCTGCTTTCAGTTTCTATTTTTATGCATCTTCACTCATCCACCTGCTTTCAGTTTCTATTTTTATGCATCTTCACTCATCCACCTGCTTTCAGTTTCTATTTTTATGCATCTTCACTCATCCACCTGCTTTCAGTTTCTATTTTTATGCATCTTCACTCATCCACCTGCTTTCAGTTTCTATTTTTATGCATCTTCACTCATCCACCTGCTTTCAGTTTCTATTTTTATGCATCTTCACTCATCCACCTGCTTTCAGTTTCTATTTTTATGCATCTTCACTCATCCACCTGCTTTCAGTTTCTATTTTTATGCATCTTCACTATCCACCTGCTTTCAGTTTCTATTTTTATGCATCTTCACTATCCACCTGCTTTCAGTTTCCTAGAAGTGCCAGTCACATTTATTGAGTAGGAATGAGTTCATCTGTACTCCAAGAAGTGGAAAAGCAGTACAATGAAAGGCAAAATCTTACTGATGATTTGCACTCATATTCAGAAAGAGAGGATGTGCATATTTGAGTTACCAATGCACTTGTTTTGTCCTAAGGTGTGTAACACTGATGAAATATATGTTGATGAAGGTATAGCCCTTTTTTATGCTGCTAGACTATCTTGGAGATTTAGAAAAAATAAAGTCTGGAGTTAAGGAAATGGTACAACAGTAACAAACAGTGTGCACTGGTTTTATTCTACAAGCAAGGTCAGCAGGTTGGTCTATAGGGCATGGGTCATTCTGACCATGCCCTAAGCTGGGATTGTCAAAACTAAGAGACATGGGTCATTCTGACCATGCCCTAAGCTGGGATTGTCAAAAACTAAGAGACATGGGTCATTCTGACCATGCCCTAAGCTGGGATTGTCAAAAACTAAGAGACATGGGTAGCAGTATGAAGGCAGAGACAGTGAATGCTGGCCAAAGATACACAGGAGTAGCACATTTGGGCAGTGAAATGTTAAGGCACTGCATGGCAGCAACAACTTTGTTGTTATCGAAGGTTTTTGTATGTGTACGAAAACCCTGTGGGTTGCATGAGGGAAAATAATGGCTTGATTCATATACAGATGGTTAAAAATAGGATTACAGGCTTTAAAAGGGTGTAGTACTCACTTGGATGAGGAAATTCTGAGATATGGGTGAATTTTCAAGAAGGCTGCATATTGAGAAGAGTGGAAGAAGCTCCCGGAACCAGCGTGCAAAGAATTGGAGCTGCTGAAGGTATCTGTGTTCCCCTTGTCTGAGAAGTTCTCCATGAACAGTCAGTTTACCCATACACATCCAGTGAGCACAAACCCTTGCTCCTGACCATCATGCTAATGTAGTGTTTTGGCAGTGGCATCCCACAAAATGCGTTGTAAACGCACAGTTTGTGCATAATATCCTGATTAATGATGAGGTGGGATTCACAAAGGGTGGTATTGTGAACTTTCATGCTGCTCATGTCTGGATGGATGTCAGCCCCCACATCATCACAGCATCAAGACATCACCATCAGTTTTCCATTAATATCTGGGCGGGCATCTTAAGTGATCAACTCTTGGGACCAGTTGTACTGTATGCTGTTGCTGTCAGATTTTGCTTAGTTTGAGGAAGTGTAGTGTTCCTTTGCAGTGGCTTTTAAGAACTGATATGGGATATATTGTATGGTATTAAAGCTAATATTGAAATTTATGTTTAATTTATATTACCCCTTTTTATGCTTGCTTTGATAGGATCTAAGAGTATTCAAGTTAAATAAATAATGGGAGACCACATGGAATTCATAGTCTTTTAATATGCAGATTTCTTTATTTTTATGAATTGTGTATGATGCCAGTTTTAAATCAATGATTATTAGTTATATTGAAGAGATTAATGGGCTGCACCTTTGTTTTCTGGAAGAGATTTCAGTCCTCAGTTTTCTTCATGATTTTCAACTGAATTGTCAACACATTAAGAATTGCTGTTCTTCAAAACTGTTTCTTCTTCAGTCACTGTGGATCATATTTCATGTTTTATAGCACTATTTATTCCTGTCTTGGCAACACTTGCAACCATGCTTATTTCGTGTGTTAATATAAATGTAGTGTGAGTGCAGTTAGTATGGAACCGTTTTCCTATAAATTTGTTTTAAAATGATTTAATGTGTAGAAGAAAAGCAGAACAGAGTAACAGGAATGAAGTTTTCTGTCAGTAAAACGTCTATGAAAGATTCCTCTCTCATGTAAGGAAAAATGTTCGGCTGATCATGGAAAGTTATGTTTGCGCAGGCAAATTGTGCGTAAGAATTTTATCTGTAGGGTGCAAGTAAGAAAATTAATCAAAATTTGATTTCATCTTATATGGAAGGTAGACTTACAAGTGACATGGCTATTGTATCATGGAAAATAGTTGTTGATTTACTATAAATCCAATGATATGTCATTAAAGTGAATTTTAATGGAACTTGAAATTTGTAGTAGTGGGGAAAGATCTCACAAATCCTGGAGGATAAAGTTGTGAGTTTTACATAATTTCATAATGATAGTACTTGTAGTAACTGTGGAATATATGTAAAAATCTTCAGTTTTAAACATATCACAGTGAATTGCATGGATGAATATTGAGTCTGTGCCTTCATTTCATACCTTCACAGTTTACCAGCATAAAATTTCTCTTGTAAATATGATTTCTTAAGATATCCAATTCTGTTTTGACTGGGTTAAGAAACGATTACTGTGCTCTCTGCTTTGAAGTTGATGTGTTGAGAAATGTGCAGAATTACAAAAAGAAAAAAATATTAAAATTCCATGATATTGAAATTTCTATGTAATTTGCTACTTCAAGATTTTTATAATCACATGAATGTACACAGACTATTGTGAAAATAAGTGTGCAAAGCACCTCCTGCAGTTGAAATGACATGCAAAGGATAGAAATATTCAAAGTAACTGTAAGCCCTTCTTGATGAACAATAACATGATCTAAGAGGGGTGAAATACAAATAATATTTTATGTTACCACAGTGTATATGATGCTGAGGATGTCCACATAAGGATTTAATCCTAGGCTTAAGTGCATTGAATGAAAATTTATGCAGTGTTACAAAAACTTGTACCCTGTAATTTACAAGTTAAGTGACCAATCTTAGCTTCCATTCTCTTGAGTTTAGAAACAGTAATAACAAATCTGGGGGTGCTTAGTTGCTTACCAGTATTGCATTATAAACTAGAAGTATTTGACCAAAATATTCATTATTTAAATTTCTTTCAAATGGTTCCTACTTCAAAACCCTATTAACAGGTTGTGCCACTATGCCACTGGATACCTCCTGATATAGATTCTTTTTAACTTCCTGTAGCCTGTAGGATCAGTATGACTTTCATATGAACTTACAAGACAGAAACAAGACTGGCACCATTAATTGTAGGTTGGCAATACATCTTTTAAAAATATACAGTTTTATTGGGGTATTTTTCTTTTAGAAAAACCGAAAATAACAACATTAAGAGTTGCACAAACTATTTTGACACAAAGGTGGACAGTGATGGAAAGCCAGTCATCCTGACTCATCATCTCAAAACAGGTCTGGTGACATTTTACGATACTGTCTAATCCAGCAGGTACCTAAAAGACACTCTGCCAATAGCAAGTTCTTTTAATAGTTGGTATTTATTCAGGAACTGAGTCAGCAGCTGTGCGGGGTGAAAGAACGTCTTGGAGAACTTCACCGTGATGTAACATTGCTGAGGAGAGCGCACACTCCTCCTTTAGCAGCACGTTATGAGCATGTGACAAGAGAGTGTGCGGTTCTAGAGGAACAGCTGGAACGGCATCAGGTGGAACTGGAGAGGCTGAAGAATGTGTTTGATACTCTGTGGGAAGAACAGTTATGTAGAATCCATGTAGAACAAGAGATCTTCCAGTCACAGGTAACAATGGGTCATACTCATCAGATGAGTGCAGGAAAGGAAGAAAGAATAATAAATATTTGATTTTATGTGAGACTGTTTTTAACCTCTTTGTCAGATCTCATGCTGCAGGCTTTGTAAGAAAATTGTTAGGCCATTTTGAAAAACTAATTTAACAACAAGAGAGATCTCTGCACCAAAAAGAAGGCACTAAAAATCAAAACTTCTGCATGGCTGTGTCAGCTAATAATGTATATGTGGATTACATCTCTCTTTCTCGCCCCCACCCCAAATCCTAGCCTCTCAGCCAGTTGGGATCGTATTAGACTTATCAGAATTTGTTACAGTTCGTATTTCATTATCATGTAATAAAGTTGAATTTCCAACTTTTCTTCTTCTTCTACCATTTACTGATACTGCATTGTACTCTTCTACTATGAACTTGATGCTTGTCACCAGATATAGTATATTTCTCTTTCACTTTTCAGGTATATTTCTTTAAATTTTTATTTCATTCCCACCCATATTCCACCATTGCTGCTGCCACCACCACCACCCCCACAACCACCGCCGCCACAATGGAATATCGCCATACAGATTTTTGTAGTTTATAGTAGAACACTAATGAATTTATTGTATGGTATGACTTAAATATTGTGTTCATTTTCATAGCATAATTATTTCTTACGGTGAGGAGTTGTTAGCACGACGACCAACCCCCAAGCTGAAGGACCACCCCTTGTCGGCTGTCCGCGACTCCTTATTCAATATATTCGCAGCTTCCCTCCAAAACTGGAGGGCGTCTCCTCCATCCGCAACCTGAGGATCAGATCTTTTGCATTCGTCAGATATTGGAGAAAAAATGGGAGTACGATGAGACAGTACATCAGCTATTCATAGATTTCAAGAAAGCCTATGATTCAATTAGGAGGGAAGTATTGTGCAATATTCTGATAGATTTTGGGATACCCATGAAACTAGTTATGTTGATTAAAATGTGTTTAAACAAAACATAGTAAAACATTTGTCTGATAAATTTCCTATCCAGAATTGTCTAAAATAAGGAGATGGTTTATCGCCACTCCTTTTCAACTTTGCTTTAGAATATGCCACTAGGAAGGTCCAGGGAAACTAGGTGGGACTGAAATTAAACGGGACAAATCAGCTGTTGGCCTATGCCGATGATGTGAATCTACTGGGTGATAATGTAGATACCATAAAGAAAAACACACAAACCTTAATTGACGCTAGTAAAGAGGTTGGTCTAGAAGTAAACACTGAGAAAGCTAAGTATATGTTGCTGTCTCATCACCAAAATGCAGGGCAAACTCATGACATAAAGATAGGAAACAGATGTTTTGAAAATGTGGCACAGTTCAGATATTTGGGAACAACGATAACAGATCAAAATTAAGAGGAGATTGAACGCGGTTAATACTTGCTACCATTCAGTCCAGAACCTTTTGTCTTCTCGTCTGCTGCCCAAAAACATAAAAATTAGAATATACAAAACTATAATTTTACCTGTGATTTTGTATGTGTGTGAAACTTGGTCTCTGACATTAAGGGAGGAACATAGACTGAGGATGTTTGAGAGCAGGGTGTTGAGGAGAATATTTGGACCGAAGAGGGATGAAGTGACAGAAAATTGGAGAAAACTGCACATTTAAGAGCTTCATAACTTGTACTCTTCTCCAAGTATAATTAGAATGATCAAGTCAAGGAGGATCAGGTGGGCAGGACATGTAGCATGAATGGGGGAGACGAGGAATGTGTATAGGATATTGGTGGGAAAGCCAGAAGGAAAGAGACCACTGGGAAGACCAAGGTGTAGGTGGGTGGACAATATTAAAATGGATCTTAGAGAGATAGGATGGGATTGTATGGATTTGATTGATCTGGCCCAGGATACGGACCAGTGGAGGGCTCTTGTGAACCCGGTAATGAACCTTCGGGTTCCATAAAATGCTGGGAAATTCTTGAGTAGCTGCAGAATTGGCATCTCCTCCAGAAGGGCTCAGCTCCATGAGTAAGTAAGTAAGTAATGACTTACATATATTTGTAAAATTGTACACGGTGGTTGAAATATGACCGGGACTGATTTTTTTTTTAAACCATAATTGCCAAACACTTACTTGCACATGTCAGTCTTCAATGTACTCGCTTCTGGAGTCAACACATTTTTCCCAGTATTCTGGAAGCATCCTGATGCCCTTTTCAAAAAAGGCTTGTTGTTGGCAGCGTATCCACTCCCAAACAGTCTGGATGACATCGTCGTCATCCACAAACCGCATGCCTCGCAAGTCTGATTTGAGCCTTCCAAACAGGTAGAAATCACTTGGGGCCAAATCAGGACTGTACGGCGGATGTGTCAGAAGGTTCCATTTCAATTTCCGGAAGGTTTCCATTGTTGTTTTGGCCGTATGGGGGTGTGCATTGTCTTGTAGGAAGGCTACCCACTTTCACCTGTCATCCCCTTGGATCAATGCTTTTCCTTCACGTCTCTTGCCAGGAGGTCTGAGTAATAAGCTGCATTGACTGTTCTGGCATCTGTCAGAAAGTCTACATGGATAACCCCTTGCCAGTCCCAGAAGAACGTTGCCATCACTTTTCCTGCCTAACGGCTCCTCCGCGACGCCTTGGATTTGGGATAACTGATATGCCGCCACTCGCGTGATGACTGCTGGGACTCAGGAATGAAGTAGTGCACCATGTTTCATTGGTGGTCACTATAGACTTCAAAAATGCATCACCTTCATCTTCAAACTGCTGTAGGAGACGACTGGCAGCTTCCATGCGCACCATTTTGTTCACATCCATCAAAGTGTGTGGTACCCACCGTGCATTCACCTTGCGATAGTACAGGTGGTATTTCACGATGTGTTCTACACTACCAACACTGATAGACAGCATTGCTCCAAATTCCTTGATAGTAATGCGCCTATTCTCGTGGATGAGCACATCTGCACGAACAATGTTTGGCTCGGTGATGGATGTTTGCAGCCGACAGTCATGCGGTTCATTCTCCACGTGCTCTCTGCCCTCTCTGAAGCACCTGCACCACTCAAACACACGGGTCCATGAGAGACACTCTTCCCCATATTTTTGTTGGAGTCTGATGAATTTCAGCGGACGGGATGTTTTCTCCAACAAGGAATTTGATCACAATGCATTGTTCATCACTCTAGCAACTCCCACACAGGACTGGACAGATTCTAACCCGAACAGGAGTGAGGGTGGAGGTTGTTGCTTCACTCTCTCAAGGTCACACAGCTGCTGTGCAGTGCGGCTTGCTTACACACAAATCAGTCCTGGTCATATTTGAACCACCTTGTATATCCATAATATTTACTGTCTTTTAGTGCATACAATTTCACTTGTCACTTCACACTACATGTTTCAGCATTATTCTGCCATTCTCAGGTATATCAATCACGTTAAACCATTGCACTGCCTGCCATCAAGTGTCCATTTATAAAATGGTATAAAATGTGTGTTCTTCGTTGTTGAATAATAAAATTTATATCATTTTATTAATGAACACTTGATGCAATTGTTTAGCGTGATTGATACACCTGAGGATGGCAGAATGATGCCGAAACATGTCGTGTGAAGTGACAAGTGAGATTGTATGCACTAAATGACAGAAAATATATACACATTGTGGATACGAATCAGTGCAGCAGGGCACTAAAGTACAACACCTTGTATATCACATAAGATAAATAATTTCTTAAGTAAACAAAGTAGCCACCATAGCTATTCTAAACATCGGTAGCATAGCCAGATGTGCTCTTCACTTCTACCTATGCGAAAGAGAATCATTGTGATTGCCATTCTGGTTGGTCACCTTAGAAGTCCTTCTGCTCCAAAAACTTGACACAACTAAAGAGGTACAGAAATACCTGAATGTGTCTCAAAAGCTTTATAAATGACCAGACATTTCACAGAACTTCCAGAAAATTGATAGTATGGACTTATGGAAGTTCCATAGCTCTTTGGTCTTGAGTCTTGCTTAAGGTGGTAAAAGTACCATCAGAGGAACATGAAAGAATACAACCTTGGATGTTAGGGAGCAAAGGTCTTGAATGAAACCTTAGTGAACATTTGCACTTACTATTCAGCGAAAGATCATAGAGTAGAAAATGTTAATGACAATAAAATAAAATAAAATAAAGGGACCACCATTAAGGGTATATGTGAGAGATTCTTGAATGAGAAAAGTGAATGTTATTAGAAACCAACCTATCATGTTAGGCATATATAAGCCAAGAGAAGTTGCTGATGCACCTTGGAACACAGCACTTTAATTTAGCAAGGAAACTTTATAATTGATATTAACTTAAACATAAGTTTTTTTCAGTACAGGCGACCCTTAAAATGGTACACACACAAAACACTTAGAGCTGCCTTGTACTTTAACAAATTTTTGGCATATATGCTATAGGTAGCTTGGTGCAGAGTCACCACATTAGCTTTGTTAGGTTTCTGCTGTTTGCCTTTCCATATGTAGGTACTGATGTTGTACAGGCTAAACGTATTTTGAGTAAACGTGATATTAAGGATTTCTGCATAAATTAAAATCTGTTTTTTTAAAACTGTAGTCAGAACGAAGTTACAGCAGTTACGCCATAGTTTACTACAGAAACTTTCTTATTTTTGAGGCAAGAACAGCAGACACTAAAGATACTTTTGCCAGTTTTTGTGTAATAAATATCTGTAAAAGTGATGACTTACGATGTAATGATTATTTTGATACACCACAGAACAAACATATAGAATACTAAGACATATTCCTAAACATTAGTATGCCCTGGTATATAAATCTCATCAAGTGAGAAAATTAATTAAAATTTTGTTGATAATGCCATCGGTCACATTCATGAAAGTCCTTTCAGCAGGAAAATTGACCCAAGGGCAGAAATAAACACCAGAACAGTGCTTTGTGGTCAAGATAAATTGGTTTGACTGGACTTGTTGATTTGCGGACTCTGTATCACATTCTCCTATTAAAAAATTAATTATGATTGAAATTGATGATTTTATTTTATTTACTTTTTTCAGATGAATGACATCCTTACATTACGTGCTGAAGTAAAACATTTAAGCTTGATAGCACATCAGCTAGAACCATATGTGAAATCGTTGGCTGCAGCTGAAAGGAGTCAGGCATCAACCGATTCAGTACAGCAGCAGCAGCAGCCGCAAGAACCAATTTCATCACACCAACAGCTTCAGAGCTTGCTTGAACATATCAGTATGTTGCAGCTTGATGCAGCTTCCTCGTAAGTTCATTTCACAGATGTCTTGTTCTGTTCTGAATATTTCAGAGAAACCAGAAATTGTTTCGGAAATGGAGAGTATTTTACAAGAAAAAGAAATAATATGGGTGTCAAGGACAGGAATGATACCTATACTACAGGCAAGATTTGTATGTACTGATAGTAGATGACTCACATAAAGGAGAAGCCATCAAAGGAGGAGGAGGAGGAGGATGAAAGGTGAGGGGGTTGAAGAGTAATAATAATAATAATAATAATAATAATAATAATAATAATAATAATCTTCAGAATCTGTCTCTTACATTAAATATAAAGGTAAATAAAAATGTGAAGTTGTCCCTGTGCTTAACTAACTAAGCACTATGCAATGAAGGCATGTGGGAGAGTGAATGTATATGTCCACATATTCTTGACCTTGGCACTAGTTGGGTGTGAGTGGCCAGCTTCATGCCTCAACCGTGTTACCCCTGGAGTAGGAGCTCACAGTACCCATCAAATAGGATGCTGAGCAGGCTCTGGAATCATTCTGGTTGATGTGAAGAAGATAAAAAATTTTCCTCGACAAGGACTCGCATGCTGCCCCCTGGGCTGTCCAGCTTGTAGCCAGTCACTATACTGACTGCACTATCCCGGCTTCTCTCACATTAAGTAATGAAGTTTTTGTTTTGGAGGTGAAATTTTGGTTTTGAGGAAAAGGGAGAATAGAAAGAATAGAAACTGCTGATGTAAGATTACTTAGTCATGGACAGGAGTAACTTTATGAGGCAGAATACCAAATGCAGAAATAAGATTGCTACTGCAAACTGAGAATTTTGTAGAAGTAATGCAGTATCAGTTTAGTTTGAAATAACATGGGTAAATAGATTGCAAGTTAGAAGGTTATATTTGTATGATTCCAAAGGATGGAAAGACATTGGAAGACTGAAAAGCAGAAAGCGGAATCAGTTTTAAAAATTTCTAAACATTGTAATGGGCTCATATCATTCAATCCTAGTATTGGAGGAGATAGGGACACCTGTGATGTTGGTTAGGAGGAGAAAAAGACTACTATGATGAGGATGATTACAAGGCTGGTGGTGAGAAAGAAAGAAAGAAAGGAACAACATAAGCTGAGAAACTGTGAGATTGATTTTCACTAAAGTTCTGAATATGAAGGAAGACTTCTAAAATGGTACCAAAATATATCACTCCCAAGCTATAACAGGAGGAAAGGCATTTGCTCAGACCTTTGAGCAAGACTGTTGCAAGAATTGATCCTTTCAGAAAAAATAGAGATTTGTCTTCTAATATGCCCCAATATGTCACCAATGAAAAAGTCCAAGAGTCTCTGAGATTATAAAAAGTATCAATGTCAAAGTCAAGGTTAAAATCACACTGATGTGGTTTCTTGTTATCAGTGGAATTCTCTGTCTCCATTATGAATTTACACCTCCATAGCAGTTGCATTTGACAAGGGAAACTTCTTCTTTAATAAGGCTAGTAGATTTTACGTCATGGCAATGCACCTTTTCACACAGAACAACCAGTAAAGCAGTGTTTGGCCAAAACCCCAGATTCCTGTGATTTGGCACCTTATGTCGTTTTTCAAAAAATAAAATTTTGAAAGGGGCTCATTTTGAATCTTCTATAGACATTCATAGCAATGTGAAGAATGTGCCAAATTTTTGGCCAAAACCCCAGATTCCTGTGATTTGGCACCTTCTGTCGTTTTTCCAAAAATAAAATTTTGAAAGGGGCTCATTTTGAATCTTCTATAGACATTCATAGCAATGTGAAGAATGTGCCAGAAAGACTTCGAAAAATTATTTCTGGAATGGCAGAGACTTTGGAATGTGTATGTAAAATGAGAAGTCAGGTACTTTGAAGATCTTAGACATGGGTAATGTGTACTAAAATGTGTTGTCAGTAAATTAATTAATACACCTGAGCCCTTTGATGACTTTTGAAACTGTATGTTTTGACAATAGTGTGTCATCATGCAAGTTTAAATATAAGTCCATGAAATAGAATTTTCAAAGAATTAATTAAAATTAATGATGTATTTAATTAATGGAAACTAATTTTTAGCAATTTTGAAGCTTGTAACTAATAGTCACATGCTGTGACCCAAGGGCAACTTGTGTAACCATGCTAAAGCAAATTATATTTCTAGGGGTATTAGGGTGGTCCACGATAGTACTAACTTTTTGCAGGAATGACATGTAATGTGGCAGTATCTGTTCTCCAGAACTCTCATGTAATTGAATACAAATGCATAGCCAAGTACCACATAAACCAACATACATTTTTAATTGAAATCAGTTACAGAATGGACTCATCAGGAGCACAGAAGGGTGAATGTCGTGTGCATCCTGGTCAAGTGGTGACCTCTCCTAGTGCTGAAAATATTATGTACATGAAAGGTTAGTAATATTCATTCAAGTAAAAAAATTAATTGGTGACATCTTCATATTTTTTAGTGTGTCTTACATTTGAGAGGCCATATTCAGTCATCTCATTAACATTTTTGTTTGGGAAGTGTGGTTATTCCTCAGTTCCTTGAGATAAATGCCAGAATAGGTATTTATTCCTTTCCAGTCTTCACTTCTCATAACCTCCAACATTACCTTTGGCTGGAGCATTAAAACTCGTAAATATTAAGGCACAAGCATGGTAAACCTGAGATCTCTGGAGAATAGTGATTTGTATTGAATAATTAAAGAAAAAGTAACATATGATTTCATCTTTTATCACATGTAGGCTGAGAATCCATCTTCCTTTCAACTACTTGAAGTACACAAGATAGGTGTAGAAGTTACAATTAGGAATTGGGCTCTTCTTTTAGGCATGGGGTTAATTCTGCCAAAATGTATATCTTTGCTGTTGGGGAATGGGAAGTGAGGAAAAAATCACAGACATTTATTCCTTACTCTAAACAAGAAGCGTGTCTGATGCATAGGATGTATCATGCTTATATATCAGCCAGAAATTATTCGGCAGAATTTAATTTTTGTTAGTATCTACTTTTAAGTAAATGTTCCATTTAATCTAAAGCAGTTTCTGAGGCTGACTGATGTGTAGTCTGTGCTGATATGATACTTTGTGTTTCACAAGTCCTGCTGACAATGCAGAATGTATAGAAATGCTATTTTGAGGTTATTCTTCACAGTGGATGGAAAAGAGGCACCAGTAAGGGAAGTGTCTCGCACACGAGGTACATCTGGCCGGGAACAGCAGCAAGTAACTGCAGCCATGTTGGATGTTAGTGGTAGTGGTGTCAGCATCTATGGCAGTCGGCAACAGCAGACCCCTGCAATTGGCCAAAGTTTGCAAAATGTTGATACAGGAAGAGACGGGAAACGGGGTGTTCTAAGTCAGCTTATAGAGAAGGTACTAAGAGTAAACATGTTTAGAGGTGTGTTACTGTATGTACCTGAATACAGTGTACACATGAAATGTATACCATTCTACAGTAACATTGCTAATGAACTGAAAAGCACAGGAATGAAAACTAAATGCATATGACCAAGTGTCAGTTGAATTCCCAAAAATAATTCCTCAAGTACAGAAAGATAAATGCATGCTGTGATTTTATGTATAGATGTGCAGCTATAGTGCAGAGGAGATTTCATATGGTGTTTGGAAGGGAACCACCAAAAATAATATTGTTTTATAAGTGGTATAAATTGTTGAATCAGATTGCCCACATTTATAAAGAGAAAAACCCTTGGAGATGATCAGTCACTGAATCTCAGGTGGATGAAGTTTAGGCAGCTTTCATTCGCAGCCAGACAGTTAGACATGCAACAGGCAGTAGGATATGGAATTCTGCAGAAATGTTTGAAATTTGGAAGTTACAGTTGTCAGTTGTTGCAACATGTAACTGCCCAAGACAGACAAGTTTGTTGCACATTTTCTGTGACCTTCTTTCAAGACTTGAAGGTATTAAACTTCTTACAGACAGAATTGTCTTCAGTGATGAAGCCATATTCTGTTTAATGGAATTGTTAATTGACATAACCTGAGAATTTGGGGGAGCAACAATCCTTATGATGTAATTGAACATATTTGATGGATTGTCCAAACTGAAAGTGTCTGGGCTTTTTTTTTTCTGTGATGAACATACTGTGACTTGTATAGTATGCTTAGACATGTTAGAAGAGTTCCTTATGTCTGTACTGGAAGAAGAGGATCATGATGACATACTGTTCCAAAAAGATGGAATGCCTCCACATTTCCAAAACAAAGTGACAGAAATCTTAAATCACACAAGTTTCCATACAGAGTGGCAGAGGTGGGCCTGCCACTTGCCCACCATGTTAGCCTGATGTTTTCTTATGGGGGTACATGAAGGATGCTGTGTGAATGCCACCATTCGCTGCCTCTTTACAAGAACTTGCTGGAAGAATAAGAGCTCCAGTGGTTACATTTACTCAACTTGCTTAACATAATATGGACTGAAATTGAATAAATGTGATATCTGCTGGGCAGCTCATGGTGCCCTCATTGAAGATATGTGAAATACAAATCACAAAAACATGGTCATGTAACCTTCTCACATGTATTTAGTTTTCATTCCTGTTCCTTTTGTTTGTGAGCATTGTCACAGTAGAACAGTATACATTTAATATGTACACCATGTACAATGTGATATCTCACTGTAACAGTTAAGTTGCGGGGATGAATCAGATACAGTCAGATTGTAAGGCTGTTGAAAATCATGTAGTTTGAAACTTTTGGCCAAGTATCCAGAATTTGAGTCATAAGTTCTTTGAATCTTAAACAAGTTTGTTATACAAATTTTAGTATAGTAAACCCCCATCCATTTAGGTTCTTCATGAAGAGTGTGTAGGGTAGATCATGTTGGACAAACTTTGTACATTATGGGTTAAGTGGAAATATATGAATGTGTCTGCATGAAGTCTCTCATTAATGTCAACATTCATAGATTTCACACACACGCAAGTACATAAAATACATATTTCATGGGTTAAGTGGGGTGTATGTGAGTGCAGCTGCATGAAGTCTCCCTTAATACCGAGATACATAGAAATTTTACACACACACACAACTGAATGACTGTATTTATATAGATGAAATAAAACTAATAAATGTAACAAAACATAATGAAAAGTGATACAAGAGAGATATGCAGAAGCTTTGGGCAATATTAGATCACATATTGGTGTACAGTACTAGAGCATATTTGTTTGAATGTGTATATTCATGTTTTCCATGTTTAACAGATAAGTATTCACATTCAGTTTTGTGTGAGGAAGGAAATCCATGTTGGACAAACATTCATTGGGCAAGGGCTTAGAAAATTTTGATACACTCCAGATTTTCATTCAGTGAAGGCCCATGCTATAGGTAAAGCAGTTTTGACATGTGCTTTTTGCCTCAGAGAAATAAGTTAATTCCCAGGGCAGTCCATATAGGATTTGTGGTGAACAGAGTGAAACCGAGGCAGGCTTTCCTCCAGAAACCTTGATTTTTTCCTGCCAACAGTGCTCCATACTCATCCGTCATCATTCCTGAAGTGTGCAATAGGTGATATCACCTGCCAAGTTATTACATACTTGGTTGCATATTTCTCTCCAAAAATATGTCAGAAATACTTGGAGCACATTTTCCAGAATATAGAACTAACAAGGAAATTTTAATTGCAATAATAATAGACCCATACTTCAGAGTAATTTTTTCTTGTGGGGAGATAGAAATTTGACTAATGATATGGTAAAAGATGAAATTCAAGAAATAACACTGGAAAGAGTTGAAGATAATTTTCAGGCAGAAGCTTTTCCTTTGCAAGATTATCATTTTGGAAAGGCTTTAAAGAAGTTTCCAAAGAAAAACTATTACATAGATTTCCAGTGTTTCATATTCTAACTGATCAAACATGTGTGAAAACCAATTTCAAGCAAAAGTTATGTCCTAATTTGGTTGTGGGAAAGCCAGAAAGAGTGCCACCTACCCAAAGTTTCCCTGAAGTACCTGCCTGTTCCTTCCACACAAATAACAAGTGATCGGTTGCTTTGTACTGCAGGGAATGAAGTGATTTCAAGGAGGACATCTTACTTCATATCAATATTGAAAGGCATGTGCTTTTAAATAATTACACATAAAATTCCAGATATTGTAAGAACATAAACATGTTGCATATTTATATGTGATTAACAGTGTAGCACTTATTTAATGCTGTTTAAAATGCTAATGATAGGAAAAAATTCCCAGAAAGACACTTCAATACTTGGCAAGAGTCATCTGCTCATATGGGTATTCCCTTTGTTCATGAACATTAAGCTGTGTATCAGATACAAAATATATAACTGTTGACCCTGAAAAAAATGTATAGTATCAGTATATAATTTAATGTTTTATAGAGTAAAATGAGCAGAAAACTAGAAAAGAATGAAATCGTGTATATACGAGTATTGAAGTTAGAGGTTGAATAAAAGTTCATATGTTTGCACATCTTTTACTGTATCTGATCTTGATGAGATAATAACACACCACGAAGTTCTTAGAATGAATAAAAATGACTGGGCTGAGCAGTAAGTCAGCATCAGAAGTGGTACACATTTCTTTCATTGATCTTATCAAACATCAACTAATCCAGACTGAAAGGGCCAGTGCTTCTAAGTGAAATATTGTGTTCATAGTGAGGAAAAGACGTAGTAGCTTGCAGTAATAGCAGAATTCAAACATTGGTTCATAAATAAACTAGAATTTATATAATTACCATCATTCTTTTTCCACAAACCCACATGGATTTTAGATTCTTTTTTCTAGGGTACATACTTTCTGTTTAATAACAGGTCCGTACAAAAGAAGATCGAAAAAAATCTCCTGTCCAGGAAGAGGCCAGGGTATTACTTGGAAGGGAACGGAGCAAATCAGATGGACGTGGTGGCGGTGTTTCTGCTGTAGTTGAAGGTGGAAGAACAAAGTTAACGTCAGGACATCAGGGAAGTGAAACAAAATCCCAGGCAGCAGTGGGAGGAGGAAAGAGTACTGCTTTCAGAACAGGTAAGTTTCATAGTTGATTTATGTTTAATAATTCAGGTGAAAGGAAGTGAGTTTGTAAGNCATGTAGTGTGGAGGAGGAAAAGAAGTAAAAACTACAATAAAATTTGTTGCACTTAAGACGGTATTTATCCATATATATTGTGTGAGTGTAACAGGATGCTGAAATATAATATTGAAAGGAAGTGAGTTTGTAAGGTGAGGTGATGACACCTGATTCATGTAATGCATCTGCTATGTAAAAAAGTTACGAGACTTGAAATGCTTCCCATTTCCTGTAACTGATCAGTTATAAGGTGCAGGTTATGTTATTTAATTGTAAAAATCTAAAATGAATTGCTGTTCTGAAGTTAGAAATAAGACACAACTGATTGGAATGTTGTTTTCCTGTAGGTTCAGCTGAATAAAAAAATTGGAAGTCATTTCAGCTTTTGGTTAACAGCAGAGATCAGTCTTTGCATGAAGTAAATAAATGCTGTGATAGTAACAACCAGACCCTATTGCATTCAGTTACATTATTCTCCATTACTTCTGCTCCTGAGCTGGCAAAAATGTTTACTGTTCTAGACCCACACTATTACTTAAGATTGTCCCCCCCCCCAATTTGTCTCAGTAATCCCAAGCATTATTCAGCATTGTCAGCCCTTTAGAATCTACATTATTACCTCTTACCTCCTGATAATTTGGTATCTCGATGATCCCTCTTTTTGTAGTCCTGAATTCAAGTTGCTGTGATCTGTGACTGAGGATGTGTCTTGTAGGCAAAGGTGACGCTTCTACGCAGCGTTACAGCTCTGCTGCTGCTTCTTCAAGAGAAAGTTCTTCATCAAAAGTGGCATCTCTTTATCACACCATCAGTGGAAAGGTTCTGGGATCTCGAGATTCTTCTGATCGGTCAGACACTATTTCTGGCCTTGAGATGTCAGGGCAAGGCACCATTGCTAGTCACCACCACTTGCCTCCTCCCCCACCCCCTACTACAGCTCGGAGACCACAGTCTCATCATGAAGACATACCTTCTTCAGATCTTGCCGGACACCTAGATGTCAGAGAAAGGCTTGAGGCTCATCTCAAGGAAAAGCTGCAGGAAATGATGCGGCACCGGTTAATTCGGGCAAGTTCAGTAGGAGAGAAGGGCATTGACAGTCAAGGGACAGAGGAAAGTGAGTATCAGCGCATATCTGAAGCTACAACATCCCCTGTTGGAGGATCAGATGGGGGAGGTATTACAAAACAAGCAGTAAGAGCCATGATTCATCGGGAACCAAGTACAGCTGCTAGTACACCTACATCTCCACATAGGCATCGTGGTGAACAGCAAGGTAAGATTGTGAGGCTATATCCAGCTTCAGATACTGAAGACAGTGTTTTTTATGCTACAGAAGATCAGGGAGGGACAGCAGATAAAGCAAGAAAACAGAATTCATGTGAGAGTTTAACTCTAAGTACAGTTTCTGTGAATAGTCGACGGTCTTCTGTTGATTTAGGAGATAGGAAGACTCTTGTTGTTGTAATTGGTACCAGTAGTAAAGGTGCTAAAGCACGGTTAATGCAGAAGCAGAGATCATGGGAGACCTTTCCACCAAAAAAAAGGGGTATAGGAGCAGATGAACGAGGCGAAGGTTTTGGAAAATTCTGTAGAGATCCAGATGCATTTCGTGGTGGCTTTGAGCTACGTCCAGCTCAGTCTGGAAGTCAGGGAGCTCTGGGTTCATTGAGGGGAGAAGTAGGAAGTTTGAAGAAAGCAGACAGTTTTGAAGGGCATGAAGAGGCAGTGCGAACACTTGTTGCAGCAGTCCAAGAAACAAGAACTCAACACATGCAGCAGCAACAGCAGCAGAGGAAACAAAGTCAACCAAAACAAAGTGGAGGAGGAAATTGAGAAAATGGGTATGTGAGGATTAAGAAGGTAACTGTGGTTTCCATAGGCCTCCTGAGGACCACCGAGATAATTAGAGATACTGTCAAAGCTATCAGGATGTATAAAGAAGCATGGGAAAGCAAGAAATGAAGAGAGTGCATACCTTGTAGTTTACACTTATTTGGTTATATGTATGGTACAAAGAATGACAGAGTCATAAAACTCTAATTTCTAAGACTACAAAATATTTGAAATAAGTCTAGAATAATAATCAAAAGTATGAAATACTATTACAATAAAGGAAAATTTGATTTTTCAAACATGCAGCATGTACAGTAGTTGTAACTGTATAGTCTGACATCAGATTATATGGCTTGTATTGCATTATGCTTTGTTAAAATCCCCTGCTGCATAGATACAAGTTCAGAAATGCCTCTGTGGGCTAGTGGTCAAAGTTCCTGGCTACAGATCCAGAAGTTCCAGGTTAGATTCCTGGCACTACCAGATTTTTTGAGAAGTAGTCTGGAACGGGGTCCACTCAGCCTCATGTGGAAAATTGAGGAGCTACTTGAATGGAAAATTAGTGGCTATGGTCTAGAAAACCGGGATTAACGGCTGTGGGAATACATTGTGCTGACCACGCAACAACCTCTATCCGCAATAGTTGGAACTAACTTCACCGACAAGCGGCAGTCGCTTGGTCGGTATAGTTTGCCTGCAGACTAAAGCCACGGAATTTAGATTAGTTTTTAGTTTTATGCAAAGCATAATAATTTTGACAGATCCACTCCCTTTTTTAATATCTCAAAAGAAACGAAGTTTAGTTTTAACAAAGTAATGGTTGTAGCAGCACATCCATTTATATTTTAATTAAATATACATTTATACACATGTAGACCTATAAATTCAGGTAGGAAGAAGCTTCATTTGATTATTATTATAATCAATAAGAGGCTATGGTAATCTCTGAATACTTTCAGAAGACTACTCTTGGGCTTTGAATATGCAGATTCAGGAATATATGCGTAACATAACAGTTTTGGGGCTTTCTTTCTGTTTTGTTGAATTATCTTAAAAACATACTTTCAGAAAAAGTATATTGGACATAAAATATATGCTTCATTTTTCTATACAGTTTTTGTTTGAAATGTGTTTTGCTCTGAAAAATATATTTAAGTTACTCTTCATGTAAAGTGTCTGTTACTTTTATTCTAACCAAAGTAGGAATCTGTTTGACAAATTATAATAAAACTCCCTGACATCAGATTTCATGAACATCATTATCTGTTCTTGAGTTGTCACATGTGGACGTGCAGACAGGAGTGGGAAATGTAATAAATGCATTTTTGCAGCTCTTGTTTTTGAATATTTATGACACGTTGTAGGCAAACTCCCCAATGCCACATTTCTTGAAAATATGTTCAGCAGTCTTGAATTGACACAATCAGATGGTCCTACAGAAGCAGAAATGGTGAAACTAATGGGTGCACTTTTGCAACTCTACATGTCAAATCCCGATGAGGTCATTGGATTTTTTTCAGTTGACCTAATCCTTCCAGCCACACTAGGCCCTGGGGTTTTCTTAGCCTCTAACAGAAATGAGTACCAGGAATTAATTAAATAATTTTCCTGGGGAGTGAAGCGCAGCCGGTGCATAAGGCTGACAGCCTTACTGCCATCTTTGAGCCGATTGTCTAGATAGTGTGGGACCCTCAACGTCTCACAACCCTATGGGCCTTCACGGCCTCGTACAGGGATAGCTTTACTTACTTTACATGTCAAATGCAATGGAAATGTAAGGGAAAGTATTGACGATATTAAGCATACAAGGAATGCTAACATTCTTGCTATAATGGGTAGTCCCTGGTAGCTGCAAGTACCTCCATGTAATTATTCGAAAAGTGGATTGATACATTGTGTTCTGGTAACCACAAAAATTTGTAGTAACCCAGAACAGCTATGTGATGCCAGAGGCCTATCACTGAATTATTCATGTACTGTAGACTGAAAACAGTAAAAAGTGTTTATTGGCTTTAAAAGTTAAATATTTCCCTACTTGGAATTAGTTATTTGTTACAAGATACAATTTCATACTCTTGCCAGAGGAAACTTACAAGTGAAATAGAATCTCTGAATGATCTAACATGAATATTTGTTTTCAGAATTTTAATTTTGCATAGGCCGCATAAAATAATATTTTATTTAGATTTTTTTATCTAACATCTTTATGTGCCACACTTATATTTTCCTAATTTTATTGTTTTTTTTTTAAAATATTTTGCTGGGCAGAGTACCATTAAAAAGAACAGTTATATTTATTTGTCAGACACTGCAGCCTACATACAACAAAAACTCATGTACATAATCATTAGAACAAATATAAATATTCAAGTTTGAGATGTCTTCTGTTCTAGTGTTTCTTAATTTAATTTTAAAACCTCTATTTATACATGTAGTATTGATATTTATTTATTTATTTGTTCATTCATTCATTCAATCATTAAAACATGTGCTGAGTATATCAAAAACTCATCACGTCTTCATAATAGTTGAGTCCCAATTTTTAAAACTTAAATTGCATAATAAGACCAGACACCAAAGTTAACTCAAGTGATAATTAACATGATGTGTCCTAGTTAATTGTGTATTACAGTTTTGTTTTAAGGAATGCAAGAAAATTAAACACAAACTAGAAAAAGGAAAATAAGGTGCTTTTTTGAATTGTATTTATTAGAAATATGTAGGTAGCATGGAGTAGGTAGTATCAGTAGGTAATGCTGCTGTCACTGATTTTTGTAAATGATTTTGGGAAAATATTTGCTCTAGAAAGTGGACTTTGTATGTAGCATCATTGAAGAACATTTCTTAGTTATAATTTCCACAAGCTACATTCAGATTTGGAAAAGCAGTATGTGATATGTTGATCACTTATTGTTGGAAAGTATATATCCCAGTTGGCTGTTACACTTGATATATAATTGTAAATCAAATAACATGATAAATGTGATAGATGACATTCTCACGTGTAGTTAAGTAGATTCATAACATGTTTTATCATCAGTGTGAAGATGTGATTGGATTCCAGGGTTAATTGTAAAAGATTGTGCATTGTATCATAATAGTTTGAAATGTGTTGTGGATATTGTTACTAGTGTTTAAATTCTGGTTCCCCAGAATGGAAGAATATTTGACTTAAACCTTGTTAATGAAACTTTTTAAATTGTCCTTTTCACATATAAAAGATGAATATACATAGGTGAGACTTGATTTTTCTAGTCCTTGAGAGGACATTGATACTTCCGTCATGAAAGTGCTTCCTGGTGTCCTTGGCTTTTTGCACTGTTTCCAGTCAGATAGACATAAACCAATTTCAGTCTTTCCTGTTTGATTAGAGCCTTGCATATTGTACTTTGAAATTTTTTGTAGGTCTATAATAAAGAAGGGAGGTTGATTTCCTGCGGTCAGTAACAAGTTTAAATCAGGGTGACAGCAAACCTGTGTTCCAGTTCTGGCTGTGATGAATTAATGGATTTAGGGACGTTTGTTGCATTACAGAAGTTTTCTTTATGACACCATGCACAGTCTGTTGAATGAACTGAGTTCATATTATGTGAAAGTTTGATATGTAGTATACATGTAGATATGATTAATAATCGTTTCTTCCCTAACTATGAAATAATTTTGAAAGAAAATATTAAAGAAAAATGTCACTGCCAAGGAACAATGTTTGCAAAATCATTGTTTCTACTGATAGCAAGTAAAACATAAGAATATGTATAAATAGCTGTATAGAATTTAGATACCTGTCAGTTGCAGAAGAAGGCAATGAAACAACCCAACCTGATTCCTGTAGGTACAATTTTTCCTTTTAGAGACATCAGTTTTGTTACTGTGCTGGAAGCAAGTGATTGAAGGTTTCATTGAAACAAACCAAGTTTTATTTAGCTGCTGCAAGGTTGAGATGATCAAGTGAAGATTTATAGAAAATTATGGTATCTGTAAACTTTGATGACTATGGCTTAAACTCTACATCCTTCCTCAATTTCTTCTTGTGCTTTTTAATTCTATTTTTATTGCAGGGTCTATAAATATAGATTATTATTGACATTTTGGATTTACTGATTATTTGTTAACAAGTTATACAGGCAGCAATTTAGATAACAGGAAGGAGGCTAGTTCATGAACAGTTAGGAAACACAGTGCCGTAAACCAAGTTATGAGGATATGAAATAGTATGAATAGCTGTTAAACAAAGGAGAAAGATTGTTCCAAATTAAAATAAGGAAGAAGGGCATCTGTTATAATGCAAATAATACCCAAGTTCAGAAGAGACAGAGTGATCTGTATTTGGCATATAATATGACAGATTTTTAGTCTTAAAGAATAATAATAATAAATTAGAAAGTCAAAGAATTTTATTGCATATGTTTAATAAGCTCAACCCATAAATAAGACTCGTGTTTCTTAAAGTTGATCTTTTAATACAAATGAAATTATAGAAGTTACGTAATTTTTTATACTTAATATTATTTTGCAACAAAGTTAACATCACCCTTACAAATAATGCATTGAAATTGTAATACAGTAAGAACTTGCAAATCTTTACATTTAACCTTGTGTTGTAATTATCATATTTGGTTCATTTCATTTACCAGAGAACTTATGTATAAGGTGCCAGAGTTTATTCTGTTGGCAGTTGCATGGGGCTGTAATTAGTGCTTAAGTACTTTAAGGTACTAAGGTTGCAAGAATTGTATTTTCATTACTTCTTGTTCCAGCAAATAAAACAAACCAGATAAATATTGCTTCTAAGGCTGGTTTGATTTTAAAATTTGCATTATCCACCCAACCTCATTTAACGCATTTCATACTGACTTGTACAGGGTATGAACACTGGACCACTAAGGGCTAAATTAAAAGGGCATTGAAATTTGGCTCTTGTAGATATGATGTATTTGTGTGAATTTGTAATACAGTATTTATTTCCATGTGAATTATTGAACCATGCTTCACACTAAACCTAAATTTATATTATATGCAAAGTTGTACACTATTCCTTCCTTCAGTTATACATTATAATGAACTGTTAACAGTGAAGTTGTGTGCCTTTTGGCTGCAGTTGCTGTTTCACTTTGTAATTTAGGATGTAAATTTTTTCCCGCATTAGACAATGATGTCTTACCTCATTATGGATACCAAAATAACTTGAAATATTTATATTGAGCTGTTGAGGTGAGCTGTTTGCTTGTAAATCAGGTGCCTTAAATTAGATTTTGGTATTTGTGTGGTGAATTTAGATTCAGTTTCTAAATGAAAGCCAACATTGAAGTTTTTGCATTAATGGTGTGCACTTTTCATGATCTAGCATTCACTATGTCAACTATTCGGATGGGGCAGATTGTATTCTGGTACTAGGATTCCATTTCAGATTCATGCAGGACATTTTTAGTTAGAGATTATGAAACTTACAGTTCACCAAAAATGTTACAGTATTTGTGGAACAT